GCTGTGTGAATATGCTGAGAAGATCTTTGTACATCCACACGTCTTCTAAAAAATCGAAGCGCACCATCACCATAGATAGAATGGACTCTTACCAAAGAATATGGACTCTTTTTAGGCAAAATAATCTTACTATTCCTTCATATTTCCATATACATCATCAGCAATAATGATTTTGTTTTACATCTCTACAATTCTCCTCCAAGTTGACCGCTTCTGCACCACCCTATAGGAAAAAAACACTACAGGGTGGCACGGGTGCGCAAAATGTATTTATTTCAGGTACTTATATAGCGCCGTCAATTTACGCAGCGCTTTACACATATATATTGTACATTCACATCAGTCCCTAACCCTCAAGGGGTGTACAATATAAGGTCACGTATATATATTTGCATATCCGGGTAGGGGGGCACGAGTGCGCCGCCATTCGCGACCTCGACTGTCAATCACTGGGTCCCGGCCGGTGATTCCCCGCCGGCACCCGGTGATCGGCGAGTGTTACCGACGGGGGAGAGACCTGTGTATAAACAACACAACACAGATCTCTCCCCTGCCAGCTCCTGCTTACAAAGCAGTGTGCTTACAGTGAAACACACACACAGCACACAGTTAACCCTTTGATCACCCCACATGTTAACCCTTCCTGTCCAGTGCCATTAGTACAGTGTCAGTTGCTTTTTATTAGCACTGATCACTGTATTGGTGTCACTGGACAGGAAGGGGTTAACACCAAGTCAGTTCCCCCCAGTGTCAGAATGCCCGCCGCAGTCCAGCTATAAGTCGCTGATCGCTGCCATAGTGAAAAAAAAATTCCAGTATATATACTGCCATTTGTAAACGCTATAACTTTCACGTAAACCAATTAATTTACATGTATTGGGATTTTTTTTTAGCAAAGACATTGAGCAGAATACATTTTGGCCTGAATTTTAAGATTAAAATCTCAGGATCATCAACACTTGAAAGTTCACAGGTATGTACATCAGACATGGCCACCCCCAGAAATGCATCATGGGCCCATTCTGACCTGCAGAAAAGCCTCCTGACACAAGAGGGCGCCCCAGATTTAGTTATTGGTGCAGTCATATAGCGTAGGTGACGCCACATTCAGTAATGGCGTAACATCTAATGTAACGTTAGTATCGTAACGTCAGTTATAAGTCAAATTCACTGAACTTCTCAGGAGTAAAGCTTTGTGTGCATCTGTCACATCCACATTTCGATATGCAAAGTGTCCAATGAATGAAGGTCTCCTGTACACACGTCTCACTGCGGTGACCCCGGTTGGTTGTTGTAGTCTTCTGGCTGTCCGTAGGAGAATTGCATATGTAGTCCACCGGACAGGAACTGGGCTCCATGGGCAAGGCAGCATGTCCATAACTGCAACAAAGAAGGATCATTACTTTTACTAGTAAAAATATATATTAAAAAGAAAATCCCGGTATCTATACCGCCATTTGTAAACGCTATAACTTTCATGTAAACCAATTCATTTACACCTATTGGGATTTTTTTTAGCAAAGACACGGAGCAGAAAACATTTTGGTCTAAATTTATGACAAAATTTGATTGTTAAAATATTTTGACTGGACATGTTTATTAGCAAAAAGTAAAAAATATTGCTTTTTTTCTCAAAATTGTCAAACTTTTTTTTTTAATAGCGCAAAAAATAAAAAATGCACAGGCGATCAAATACCACTGAAAGAAAGCTCCATTTGTGGGAAAACAAGGCCGTAAATTTAATTTGGATGCAGCATTGCATGACTGCTGTAAGGGGCATTCGTCCCATTGACCACCAATATAAGGGGCATTCTTCCCACTGACCACCAATGTAAGGAGAATTCTTCCCACTGACCCCCAATGTAAGGAGCATTCTTTCCACTAACCATAAATGTAAGGAGCATTCTTCCTACAGACCCCCAATGTAAAGAGCATTCTTCCCACTGACCCCTAATGTAAGGAGCATTCTTCCCACTGACCCCCAATGTAAGGAGAATTCTTCCTACAGACCCCCAATGTAAGGAGCATTCTTCCCACTGACCCCCAATGTAAGGGACATTCTTCCCACTGACCCCCAATGTAAGGAGAATTCTTCCTACTGACCCCCAATGTAAGGAGAATTCTTCCCACTGACCACCAATGTAAGGAGCATTCTTCCTACTGACCACCAATGTAAGGAGCATTCTTCCCACTGACCACCAATGTAAGGAGCATTCTTCCCACTGACCCCCCCCAATAATGTAAGGAGAATTCTTCTCACTGACCCCAATGTAAGGAGCATTCTTTCCACTAACCATAAATGTAAGGAGCATTCTTCCTACAGACCCCCAATGTAAGGAGCATTCTTCCCACTGACCCCTAATGTAAGGGGCATTCTTCCCACTGATCACCAATGTAAGGAGCATTCTTCCCACTGACCCCCAATGTAAGGAGAATTCTTCCTACAGACCCCCAATGTAAGGAGCATTCTTCCCACTGACCCCCAATGTAAGGGACATTCTTCCCACTGACCCCCCCTCATGTAAGGAGAATTCTTCCTACTGACCCCCCAATGTAAGGAGAATTTTTCCCACTGACCACAAAAGTTAGGATCAATCTTCCCAATGACCACCAATGTAAGGGGCATTCTTCCTACTGACCCCCAATGTAAGGAGCATTCTTCCTACTGACCCCCAATGTAAGGGGAATTCTTCCTACTGACCACAAAAGTTAGGGGCAATCTTCCCACTGACCACCAATGTCAGGGACATTCTTCCTACAGACCCCCAATGTAAGGAGCATTCTTCCCACTGACCCCAATGTAAGGGACATTCTTCCCACTGACCCCCAATGTAAGGGACATTCTTCCCACTGACCCCCAATGTAAGGAGAATTCTTCCCACTGACCACCAATGTAAGCAGCATTCTTCCTACTGACCACCAATGTAAGGAGCATTCTTTCACTGACCACCAATGTAAGGAGCATTCTTCCCACTGACCCCCAATGTAGGGAGCATTCTTCTTACTGACCCCCAATGTAAGGAGCATTCTTCCTACTGACCCCCCAATGTAAGGAGAATTTTTCCCACTGACCACAAAAAGTTAGGATCAATCTTCCCAATGACCACCAATGTAAGGGGCATTCTTCCTACTGACCTCCAATGTAAGGAGCATTCTTCCTACTGACCCCCAATGTAAGGGGAATTCTTCCTACTGACCACAAAAGTTAGGGGCAATCTTCCCACTGACCACCAATGTCAGGGACATTCTTTCTACTGACCACCAATGTATGGACATTATTCCTGTTAACCACCAATGTAAGGGACATTCTTCCTGCTGACCACCAAAGTAAGAAGCATTTTTCCCACTGACCACCAAAGTAATGGGGCCCTTACCACCAATGTAAAGGTTTCCTTCTTCCACACCCTACCAATCTAAGGGTAACTGTTTCTACTGACCATCTATGTAAAGGATGTTCCATGGACCACCAATATAAGGCAGCATGTCTTTTATCACACCAACATGCCATGAGTTGCAGACATAATAATTATTGTCAGGGGGTTCCTTAGAACTGTACGTTATTTCAAGAGTTCCTCCATGTTAATAAGGTTGAGAAAGGCTGCAATAAGAAGACAGCTACTTATGACCAGTCGGCTCTCTTCTTTAACATGACCGCCTCCTTTAACTTTGAAGGAACAAAACTGGGTTGGATGTAGGGTGGTGGGTATAACCTCTGTGGGTTTGGGCCAGGTTGCAGGTACAGTTGGGTTCAAACACAAGTTACATGTGCAGATTCGATGCTACTAGTAGGTAACACACCCAGGTAGGTCTCTACTTCTGGTACTTACCAGGTATAACGTGAAGACTGTATAAAATAGGAGAATAACTCCAATCACCACATACAGGGCAATGTTGTCCAGAGTCGGGATGTAAACCACCACAAAATACAAGTTTATGGCGATGATTAATATGATGAGCAAGATGGCGACCACTTTACTGATTCTGCAAGGAGCAAAAATGCAAATGAGTGATGGGGAAAAAAAAGTAATGGTCAGGATAGGACACTATCAAAGCTCGCCAAGATCCAACACACCCTGTCCACATCAACAATGGTAGTTACATATTTAGGAATAAATCACACAAAAATACATTTTTAAGGGTCATATTGATAAGCATTCTGGTTAAATGAGGCATTTTTCATCTCAATGCTTGCAGCTCTGTTTGAATGTAAAATGAAACATTTGGTAAGAATAAAAATACAATGGAAAAGTGAGCGCTCTCTAATCAGCAGCTAAAGTACCAAAGGCAACCAATAAAAAACCTTCAGAAAATCATACTAAATAAATAGGTGCAGAGCTAAAATCATAAATATATTAATAATGTCCCTAAACATATAAACAGGTTAAATTTATATGTCAAGAACCAATCAAATTAAAAGGTGACAGTCTGTGCAGATCTGGGTGCGAATTAGCAGTAGAATCCAATATTGGTGCTCCAAATAGTGTGGTAAAATTACCAATTGGTATCCAACCTCTGAAGAAGTGCGTGCGCACGAAACGCATTAGAGGGGGCCAGAACGCCGTGTGATGTCACGCCGCCGGAGCAATGTGGAGGCCCGGCAGCCATCTTACTTTCTGGACGGTTAGTCCATGTCTTATCATCTGATGTTACCTGATTTTACTACTGCTGTATTTGCAAATTCATTTTTATTAATAAATTACTGGTATTACCTACTACACTATGGGCATTCTTCATGGTCTCCTGTGCGGAGCTATTTATTTGTAGAGCCCATCCGATCCAGCCATCCATAAGTATCCAGAGAAGGGAGTTCCTTAAAGCAGGCATCTACACCCGTCCATCCCTTAAAGGGATCTCTGGCCAGCTGGATCCTGTATCTTCCTGTGAGCTCCTGACAGCACCACCTTACCTAGAGGAAGGACTATCCTGGATTAGGATCATATCCAACTCCTAAAGGGGACCTCTACAGATTCATTTAATGCATATTATACATTACGCATCTGGTGAGTGCGCAATTTTACCACACTATTTGGAGCACCAATACTGGATTCTACTGCTAATTCGCACCCAGATCTGCACAGACTGTCACCTTTTAATTTGATTGGTTCTTGGCATATAATTTTAACCTGTTTATATGTTTAGGGACATTATTAATATATTTATGATTTTAGCGCTGCACCTATTTATTTTGTATGATTTGGTAAGAATAGGCTGCATTTGACCTGCTGTGCCAACAATTCAACTGTATGGTAATAGGCAGGGGCGGACTGACCATTTGGAAACTCGGGCACTGCCTGAGGGCCCGGGGTCAGTAGGGGGCCCCATGAGATGCCCCTGGTGCCTTTTTCATAGGCTTTTTTGAGTTTGGGCAAGGACACAGGGGCCCCATGATCCCCTATTGCAATGGGGGCCTCATGAGTTGTCAGTCCGCCCCTGGTAATAGGACATGCAGAGTCTGAAGAATTATGGCACAATTCAGGTCAAACACAGCCTTCGAATTGCCATGTGTACCGCTCCAAGAAAGTCTGAGAGGGTTCTGCTGACCTGCGTTTAGCTTTCTTTCTAAACACACATCAAACAAAGAAGAACAACACCCATTATATCTTTGGTGTTCAGCCTGTTGCCTAGGAGCCTCATGAGACCCTTTGGCAACTATTGAGTGGCCCTCAGGGTCCCTGCAGACACAGGTGTGATTTTTAGCGGCCTCATGTAATGTGTCTCTAGTCTATGACTGTCTTCTGAAGCATGTCCCCAGTCTACAAGAACTCCTATAGCATGTTCACAGTGTCTGACCGTCTCTGGTATCCTTTCTGCAGTCTATGACCCTCTTATGTATGCCACACTTCTGCAGTCTCTGACCATCTCTTGTATCTTGTCTGCAGTCTCTGACCATCTCTTGTATCTTGTCTGCAGTCTCTGACCATCTCTTGTATCTTGTCTGCAGTCTCTGACCATCTCTTGTATCAGGTCTGCAGTCTCTGACCATCTCTTGTATCATGTCCACAGTCTCTGACCATCTCTTGTATTATGTCCACAGTCTCTGATAATTTCTTGTATCCTTTCCACAGTCTCTGACCCTCTTACAGTATTTATCACATCTGCAGTCTCTGATTATCTCTTGTATTATGTACACAGTCTCTGACCATCTCTTTTATGATGTCTGCAGTCTCTGACCATCTCTTGTATTATGTTCACAGTCTCTGATCATTTCTTGTATTATGTCCACAGTCTCTGACCATCTCTTGTATTATATCCACAGTCTCTGATCAATTCTTGTAACCTTTCCACAGTCTCTGACCCTCTTATAGTACGTATCACATCTGCAGTCTCTGATTACCCCTTGTATTATGCACACAGTCTCTGACCATCTCTTTTATCATGTCCACAGTCTCTGGCCATCTCTTGTATTATGTCCACAGTCTCTGATCATTTCCTGTATTATATCCACAGTCTCTGACCATCTCTTGTATTATGTCCACAGTCTATGATCATTTCTTGTATCCTTTATGCAGTCTCTGACCCTCTCTTTTATCATGTCTGCAGTCTCTGACCATCTCTTGTATCATGTCCACAGTCTCTGGCCATCTCTTGTATCATGTCCACAGTCTTTGACCATCTCCTGTATTATGTCCACAGATCTGACCATCTCTTGTATCTTTTCTGCAGTCTCTGATCTTTCTCTTGTATTATGTCTGCAGTCCCTGACCATCTATTGTATTATGCCCATAGTCTTTGATTAAATCTTGTTGTGTCTGCTATCTCTGACACAGAATTTCCACTGAATTTTATGTGCAGCCCTTTTGTGATGTTAACCCCCCCCCCCCACTGTGCTATTGGATTGAGTTCCCTCTGTATACATACATGCCGTTGGTGAAATCGTGCATCAAAGGTCGCATGCTGGTAAAGGTCAGAATCGGGAGCAGGGCGAAGGGAAGCTGCAGAAATGGATTATTAATGGGACATTATTATCTTATGGGAAATATACAAATATAAGACATACAGTATACAGGAACAAAAGTCAGCTGAAGTTTAATCTGCTTAGATTTTTCCTTCCCTGGTTCCTCCCCAATCCACTGATCAACATGCTCATGACATTTTTAAATTAACCCCTTCAAGTCCGGACACTTTCACCCCTCCCTGTCCAGGCTAATTTTCAGCTTTCAGCGTTGTCACACTTTGAATGACAATTGCGCGGTCCTGCAACACTGTACCCATATGAATTTTTTAGCATTTTTTTGAGACAGATAAAGCTTTATTTTGCTGGTATTTATTCCCCACTGGGATTTTTATTTTTTTGCTATATAAATGAAAAAGTCCAAAAATTTTGAAAAAAAAAAAAGTTTTTTCTTCTAAAATTTTGCAAATAAATAATATTTCATCATAAATCTTGGCCAAAATGTATTCAGTTATCTTTTGAGTTAAAAAAAAAACAAAACAAATTAGTTTATAACCAAAAATTATAATTTTAAACATTTTTTTTTATATTATTATTTATGTTTTGTTTTTGTTTTTTTTACATACTGTCACCCTAGCAGTAAAGTGTCACCATGGTGATACTGTAATGCTTGTGGGGGTGATTAAGGTTTTTTTTGTTTTTTTTTTTTAACACTGATTGCTTTTACACCCGTATAGGATATAAAAGCAATCATTTATCCTTCTCTCTGGCTGGATTCTTGCAGCCATTGAGAATTACTGTGTGAGCTGTGATTGGTCACAGCTTGTCACATGGTACAAGGCTGTTGTGAATAGCCCTGTACCATGTGACCTCTGTGATCATTCACAGATTTCACACGTAGTAAGCAATGATGTCAGAAGTCACATCTTGCTTACTACTCTGCATGTGATCACTGATTGGTCCAATCGGGACCTCACACAGAGGTCCCGTACGATGATCGGTGTTCCACTGTGTCCAGAGGACACAGCGGGCAACGGATCGCGGTGCTGCGCGCTCCCAAGGAACGCGCACAAGCAGGGGGCGGGGAGGCCGTTTATAAACTGCCACCTGCCCCTGCACTGCCACTGTTCGGTCATTTATATACAACGGCTGAACGGGGAGTGGTTAAACCTTTCCTTTTTTATTACGTACCTTATTTTGGATCCAGTGATGTCATCACTGAGTCTCTATGCTTCTCTGTGCAATGCAGACAGATTGTGGCTGGTGGGAGGGGCTGTACATAGCTCGATGAAAACATCACAGCACTCTTGTAAGAGCCCTCAGCCCTTATGCAAATATCAAAATGCCTTGATGGGCGGGTGTCAGCCTGGAAGGGGGGCATTCCTAGGCAGGCTGCATTTGCACGGTTAATGCCCACATGTGATGATAGGCCTCCATGATTGAAATAACTGCAATCCAATGAATGTAAGGGGTGGGCTGGGGAGGAAAGCGCTAGATGATGATGGGTGTCCTCCAGCCAGGAAATGAGACGGGATCTATCTGACTTGCTGCAGCTTCGAATGCACATTGTGAGAAGCTCACAGTGTGCGGTGCAATCAGAGAAAGCCATTTCAGTCCAGAAGAAGAGCCGCTACACCTGTGCAAGACTGAAGGGGAGGCCAGAGCTCAGCTTTAAAATGTATGTGCAGACTAGCTGGACTGACTGCTGGTGAATATTTGTGTTGTTCGATGTACTGCCTCACACATGTGAACCTTTTCCTTGCTAGGTAAAAACTGTTCGGCCAATATGATTCAAAACAAAAGACTTTCAGCAGTCTCTAATGACGTGAAATGACCACAATGCACCAGGAATCCACGTCTCCGCAGGTACCCACCAGAATACTCTGAAGGACATTGAGCAGATCGTTCATCCCTGACAGGCTCTGGACGTCTTTAAACGCCGCCACAAACACGGGTAGGTATGATGGCGAATGATCTGGTGAACAGGACCCGGTAGAAGCGAGACCATTTCAGGTTCAGGAAGCCCTACAGGAGATAAAAGAGAAAGGCCAAGTTATGAATTGTGGCAGAAACAGTATATCCCCCCCCCTTTTACTCCCCGCCTTCACCCCCCCGCCTTCAATATTCTATGGACCCTCATTATAAAATATGTCCCGCAGCACCTAATATCAGTCCATCTGCGCTGACTGTTACTTCTCAGTCCCCCAGCAAAGTCCCACAAATATCTGATGATCCTGCCAGTGAAGCCCACCCAATGCAACGATGGGGCACTATTCCTCCCACTGACACCAACGATGGGGCACTATTCCTCCCACTGACACCAACGATGGGGCACTATTCCTCCCACTGACACCAACGATGGGACACTATTCCTCCCACTGACACCAATGATGGGGCACTATTCCTCCCACTGACACCAACGATGGGGCACTATTCCTCCCACTGATACCAATGATGGGGCACTATTCCTCCCACTGACACCAACGATGGGGTATTATTCCTCCCACTGACACCAATGATAGGGCACTATTCTTCCCACTGACATCAATGATGGGGCATTATTCCTCCCACTGACACCAATGATGGGGCATTATTCCTCCCACTGACACCAATGATGGGGCATTATTCCTCCCACTGACACCAATGATGGGGCATTATTCCTCCCACTGACACCAATGATGGGGCATTATTCCTCCCACTGACACCAATGATTGGGCATTATTCCTCCCACTGATACCAGTGATGGGGCACTATTCCTCCCACTGACATCAATGATGGGGCACTATTCCTCCCACTGACACCAATGATGGGGCACTATTCCTCCTACTGACACCAATGATGGGGCACTATTCCTCCCACTGATACCAATGATGGGGCACTATTCCTCCCACTGACACCAATGATGGGGCACTATTCCTCCCACTGACACCAATGATGGGACACTATTCCCCCCACTGATACCAATGATGGGGCACTATTCCTCCCACTGATACCAATGATGGGGCACTATTCCTCCCACTGACACCAATGATGGGGCACTATTCCTCCTACTGACACCAATGATGGGGCACTATTCCTCCCACTGATACCAATGATGGGGCACTATTCCTCCCACTGACACCAATGATGGGGCACTATTCCTCCCACTGACACCAATGATGGGACACTATTCCCCCCACTGACACCAATGATGGGACACTATTCCTCCAATGACACCAATGATGGGACACTATTCCTCCCACTGACACCAATGATGAGGCATTGTCACTGACACCAGAACATTTTCTACTCCTACTGGCCCCAATCCGGCCCCTCTAAAGTCTGAAGGATAATAAACTGACTCTGTTTAGAAAGTTTGGAGACCCCTGCTATGGACAATCGTAATGTCCTTTTGTTAATATGGGCAACCACAATGTTTATTGTTTAGTTTTCCTCCGTTGCTATGGGCAACCTCAATAGGGTTTTTTCCCCCTTGCTGTGGACAATCAGAATACCTTTTTCTTACTATGATCCACCACAATTTTTTTCCTCCGTTGCTATGGGCAACCACGATCATACTGTTTTGTTACTATGAACAACCACAATGTTTATTTTTTTCTCTGTTTCCCTGGGCAACCATAATAGGGTTTTTTTTCTCTCTTTGATATAGACCAGGGGTCTCCAAACTCCAAAGAAAGGGCCAGTTTACTGTCCTTCAGATTTTAGGGGGGATGGCTGTGCCCAGTGGGAGTAAATAATGCCCGATCTTTGGTATTATGAGGAGAAATAGTTGGTGTCAGTGGGAGGAATAGTGTCACATTGTAGTTGTCAGTGAAAGGAATTATGCCCCATCGTTGGTGTGAGTGAAAGGAATTGTGCCCATTGCTGGTGTCAGTGGCAGGAATTGTGCCCATTGCTGGTGTCAGTGGCATGAATTATGCCCATTGCTGGTGTCAGTGGTAGGAATTATGCCCCATTGTTGGTGTCAGTGGCAGGAATTATGCCCCATTTATGGTGTCAGTGGCAGGAATTATGCCCCATTGTTGGTGTCAGTGGCAGGAATTATGCTCCATTGTTGGTGTCAGTGGCAGGAATTTGTCCCATTGTTGGTGTCATGGCATGAATTATGCTCCATTGTTGGTGTCAGTGGTAGGAATTATGCCTATTGCTGATTTCAGTGGTAGGAATTATGCCCACTGTTGGTGTCAGTGGCAGGAATTATGCCCCATTTTTAGTGTCAGTGGTAAGAATTATGCCCATTGCTGGTGTCAGTGGTAGTAACTATGCCTATTGCTGGTGTCAGTGGTAGGAATTATGCCCATTGCTGGTGTCAGTAGCAGGAATTATGCCCATTGTTGGTGTCAGTGGCAGGAATTATGCCCCATTGCTGGTGTCAGTGGCAGGAATTATGCACATTGCTGGTGTCAGTGGCAGGAATTATGCCCCATTGCTGGTGTCAGTGGCAGGAATTATGCACATTGCTGGTGTCAGTTGCAGGAATAATGCCTCAAAGGCCAGATAAAGACAAGCAAAGGGCCACATCTGGCCCCAGGGCCGTAGTTTGGAGACCCCTGCTATAGACGATAATAATGTCATTTTATTACTGTGAGCCACCATCTGTTGGACACGGATCATTTGGTTTGTTGCAGGCTGGCTGGTAACCACAATACTTTTTTTTCTTTTGCTAGTTGTAATGACCATTTGATACTTTGAGCAACCAGAGCACAGCTCACAGGACATGAGTGTGAACAGGACGTTGTGGATGGAATCGAAGGATAAGGGATGTACAGTACACAAGGCCGCTCTATGCAGAAGTATTATTTTCGGTAATAATAATGATTTGACACAAATAATAATAAAATTGGCCAGAAAAGTAACACAGGCCTTGAAAATGGCAGCCCTTCCTCATGGTGGTCAGTGAGTGAAGGACCCCTTACATTGGTAGTCATTGGGAGAATGCCCCCCTTACATTGGTGGTCATGGGAAAGAAGAGCCCCCCCCCCCCCCCCTATGTTGGTGGTCAGTGAGAGAAGGACCTCCTTACATTGTTGGTCACTACAGAATACAGTAGATCCCCTTACATTGGTAGCCAATGAAGAAGGGCCCCCTTACATTGGTGGTCAGGGGTAGAAAGACCCACTGACATTGGTGGTCGGTGGTAGAAAGACCCTCTGAATTGGTAGCCAATGAAGAAGAACTCCTTACATTGTTGGTCATTACAGAATACAGTAGATCCCCTTACATTGGTAGCCAATGAAGAAGGGCCCCCTTACATTGGTGGTCATGGGTAGAAAGACCCCCTGACATTGGTGGTCGGTGGTAGAAAGACCCTCTGCATTGGTAGCCAATGAAGAAGGACCCCTTTACATTTTTGGTCACTACAGCATACAGTAGATACCCTTACATTGGTAGCCAATGAAGAAGGGCCCCCTAACATTGGTGGTCATGGGTAGAAAGACCCCCTGACATTGGTGGTAGGTGGTACAAAGACCCTCTGCATTGGTAGCCAATGAAGAAGGACCCCCTTACATTGTTGGTCATTACAGAATACAGTAGATCCCCTTACATTGGTAGAGAATGAAGAAGGGCTCCCTTACATTGGTGGTCAGTGGTAGAAAGACCCCCTTACATTGGTAGGCAATGAAGAAGGGCCCCGCTTACATTGGTGGTCAGTGGTAGAAAGACCCCCTTACATTGGTAGGAAATGAAGAAGGGCCCACTTACATTGGTGGTCAGTGGTAGAAAGATCCCCTGACATTGGTGGTCGGTGGTAGAAAGACCCTCTGCACTGGTAGCCAATGAACAAGGGCCCCCTTACATTGGTGGTCAGTGTTAGAAAGACCAACTTACATTGGAAGCCAGTGGAAGCAGGCCCCCCCTTACATAGGTGTTCAGTTGAAGGACCCCCTCACGCTGGTGGTCAGTGAAGAAAGCCTCCCTTACATTGATGGTCACCAGGAGAAGGGACCCCTACATTGGGGGTCAGTGGTAGAAAGACCCCCTTACTTTGGAAGCCAGTGGGAGCAGGACCCCCGTACATTGGTATTCAATTGGAGAAGGAGCACCTCATGCTGGTGGTCAGTGGAGAAAGCCTCCCTTACATCGGTGGTCATCAGGAGAAGTGACCCCTACATTGGTGGTCAGTAGAAGAAGGGACCTCTACATTGGTGGTCAGTAGAAAAGAGCCCCCTTGCAGTGGTGGTCAGTGTTGAAGGGCCCCCTTACATTGATGTTCATTGGGAGAAGTGTCCCCTACATTGATGGTCATTGGGAGAAGGGTCCCCTACATTGGTAGTCAATGGAAAAAAGCCCCCCTTACGTTGGTGGTCAGTAGAAAAAAGCCCCCTTGCAGTGTTGGTCAGTGTTGAAGGGTCCCCTTACATTGATGGTCATTGGGAGAAGAGTTCCCTACATTGGTAGTCAATGGAAAAAAAGCCTCCCTTACATCGGTGGTCAGTGGTAGAAGGCACTGTCAGCTGGAAGAATTCCCTTTACATCGGTGGTCAATGGGAAGAATGCCCCTTACAGATAGCTGAAAAGATCATGGGGGTTGATAGCTAATTATCTGAATGGCAGACATTGTTCACACTTAAAGGAACCCCTAGCCACCTCTGGAGGAACCCTATTCCACAAATCCCTGGTTGATAAAGGCTGACATAGATAGAGTCCTGGTGAAAGCTGATCTCAAGACCCCAACTTAGTAAGGCCATGGCCCCATCCACTAAGCCACCATGCTACCCATGTATAGTATGCGACATTAACATCTGTATATACAATGGAGGATTAAACCCAAACACTCACCTCCATCACAAACTGTCCGGCATACGTTCCTGTCATGGTGGAGCTCTGCCCGGCAGCCAGGATGCCAATAGCCCAAATGTAGAGGGCAACGGGTCCAAAGAAGCAGCCCAGGATAACACCCTAATGAAGGCAGAAGCATTGACATTTTGGTACATGAACTATAGTAGCCTCCCTAGCGGTCTGATTATGCCCATATTTCTGTGCTCAAAGCGGTACATTTTTTTGCATGGAAATATGTATTTTTTTTATTGTAGGCCTGTAATTTTTAGGAATAACTCACTGAAATCTGTCCGAACAAGAGTCTAATAAACATCCCGGGTATGATAAAATTTGAAACACAAAATCATAAATTATAATTTAATAAATAATCATAATAAATAATAATATAATAATAATAAATTTAATGTAATCAAACCAAAAACACTGAAATTTGAAATATAGCGCTAAGTTCGCATATCGCTGAGCAAAGTCGCAAAATCGTTTTCAGTGTCTGATGAGGAATTTCCCCCACGAATCATTATCACTCAATTCTGCAAGTGGTTCTGATTTACTATCGCTGTTCTCTAGTCGGTCTAAAACCGATTTTGACCTAAAGGGACGCTTTTTGGACGCCATGGACGTTTCTCAGTTTCCAGGCAGAAAGAACAGTAAAAATGCAGGCAGGGCGCCGGACAAAGCACTCGGGACAAAAGTAATTTATTTATTTCAGGTACTTATATAGTGCCGTCAATTTACACAGCGCTTTACATATATATTGTACATTCACATCAGTCCCTAACCCTCAAGGGGTGTACAATCTAAGGTCCCTAACTCACATTCATAAATACACATACTAGGGACAATTTTAGACAGGAGCCAATTAACTTACCAGTATGTCTTTGGAGTGTGGGAGGAAACCCACGCAGGCACATGCAAACTCCAGGCAGGTGGTGCCGTGGCTGGGATTCCAACCGGCGACCCTAGTACTGCCAGGCGGAAGTGCTAACCATTTAGCCACTGTGCTGCCCATTTCCCGCCAGTTCCATCCCCGTACGTCCCGACGTCGCAGGGAACGGAACCCGGAAGACAGATGCCGGCATCGGCCGGAGGACATTACAGGGGACACTGCAGGGGGGACATTGCGGGAGCGCAGGACAAGGTAAGTGCAGAAGAGATCCCGGAGCAGCGCTGCAGTGTATTCCTGAGTGTAGCTCGGGGTTACCGCTTGTGGTGCTGAAACTTTACCCCGAGCTACACTCGGGAATACCTCCAGGGGGGTTAAAAGGAAAACTCAATCTTTCCAATAATGTTTACATAAAACTCCAGACAAACTTTTCTTCTTTTAGGTGTGTATAGATCGGGGGGGGGGGGGTCTCCAAACCTTCTAAACAAAGGGCCAGTATACTGTCCATCAGACTGTGGGGGGGGGGGGGCCTGGACTCAGGCCAATGGGAGAAGAAAATGTCTTGGTGTCAGTGGGAGTAAACATTGGGGTTGATTTACTAAAGGCAAATAGATGGTGCACTTTGCAAAGCAAAGCAGTTGCTCCAGAGCTTAGTAAATGAGGGTAAGCTCTGCTGACTTCCATCATCCAATCGTGTGCAAGTAAAAATTCTATTTTTTTTTTTTTTTTTATTTTCCCCTGCATGTGATTGGGTATTTTTGGGAAAGGGAAGCTTTACCTCATTTACTAAGCATTGGAGCAACTGCACTTTGCAAAGTGCACAGCCTAGTTGCCTTTAGTAAATCAATCCCTTTGTCTCATTGTTGTATAGAAATCAGATGCCGATCAAGCCAACCCGATGCTCTAGAAATGTTAATGGTGGTATGTGCCAGCGCTGCTCCAGCCACACACTTTGATGTGCTTTGGCCTGCCCACTGGGGCTTGGTAACAGATCTCTCATTGTTGGTGTCAGTGGGAGGATCCATGCCCCATCGTTCGTGTCATTAGGAGCAATTTTGCCCCTTCACTGGTGTCAAAGGGAGGGCATATACCCAATTGCTGGTGTCAGTGGGAAGAACTGTGCCCCATTGTTGGTGTCAATGGGAGAACTGTGCCCCATTGTTGGTGTCAATGGGAAGAACTGTACCCCATTATTGGTGTCAATGGAAAGAACTGTGCCACATTGTTGGTGTCAATGGGAAGAACTGTGCCCAATTTTTGGTGTCAATGGGAAGAACTGTGCCGCATTATTGGTGTCAATGGGAAGAACTGTGCCCCATTGTTGGTGTCAATGGGAAGCACTGTGCCCCATTCTTGGTGTCAATGGGAAGAACTGTGCCCCGTTGTTGGTGTCAATGGGAAGAACTGTGCCCCATTGTTGGTGTCAATGGGAAGAACTGTGCCCTGTTGTTGGTGTCAATGGGAAGAACTGTGCCCCGTTGTTGGTGTCAATGGGAAGAACTGTGCCCCATTGTTGGTGTCAATGGGAAGAACTGTGCCCCATTTTTGGTGTCAATGGGCAGAACTGTGCCCCATTGTTGGTGTCAATGGGAAGAACTGTGCCCCATTGTTGGTGTCAATGGGAAGACTGTGCCCCATTGTTGGTGTCAATGGGAAGAACTGTGCCCCATTGTTGGTGTCAATGGGAAGAACTGTGCCCCCTTGTTGGTGTCAATGGGAAGAACTGTGTCCCATTGTTGGTGTCAATGGGAAGCACTGTGCCCCCTTGTTGGTGTCAATGGGAAGAATTGTGCCCCATTGTTGGTGTCAATGAGAAGAACTGTGTCCCATTGTTGGTGTCAACAACAATCCTTGTAGGGCCTCATCTGAACACACCCAGACATTCTGTTACAGAGTGACATGTTATTATGGTTGAAAAAAGGGAAACGTCCTTCAAGTGCATCCAAATGACAAAAATAGTTTTGAAGGGAGGCAAAAAAAACAGACGTGGGCATTTTAGGCCCCCCGGGGCCACATCCAGCCCTTTAGCTGTCCCTGTCCAGCCAGGTTCCCTGGATCCAGGCTGGCCAGTTGACGAGATGGCGGCAGTCACACTTCGTAGCGTTGCCCTTTGAGCGAGTGGGGTGGACCACGGGAGGTGGACGACAGTGGAGATGATGTAGGTGAGGACATTAGTTGTTGTCGACATTCTGAAGCAGGGTCATGGATAAGGGGGTACCACCAGTCCTCCTGTATGGGGCCCAGGCCAGCAGAGGGGCCCAGGCAGCTGGGTGAATCGGATGTGGGCAGGGAGAGTGATTGGGAGGGCCGAGGAGCAATTACTGGAACCAATCCCCTGTATGCAGGGGCGTCCCTAGGGTTGGTGTCACCCGGTGCAATAACACTTGGTGACACCCCCTCCGACGATCCCAAAAAAATGGATTGGATCGTTGGGGATCGTCGGCATGCAACCTATATGGGGTGACAGCGGACCCGCTCCACGAAAAGGTAAGTTGTAAAGCAAGCCGACGATCCCCGCAGGATGGATCGAATCTGCGGATTGGGGAGCATAATGGATCGGACTCCGATCCATTATGCTCAATCTGCAGATCCAATCCATTCTGCGGGGGTCGTCGGAGGGGGTGTCACCAAGTGTTATCGCACGGTATGACACCAACCCTAGGGAAGCCCCTGCATACAGGGGATCTGTTCCAGCAATTGCGGATTGGGGAGCATAATGAATCGGACTCTGATCCATTATGCTCAATCCGCAGATCCGGTCCATCCTGTGGGGATCGTCGGCTTGCTTTACAACTTATCTTTTCGTGGAGCGGTTCAGCGGCACCCTGTGCGGTAGGTGTCACCCGGTGTGGCACGCACCCCCCGCGCCTGTTGTGCAGTTGAAAGCCGGCTTCTTCTCTCTCCCTCCCGCTGGCTTTCAGCTGCTGTGCAGAAAGAGACATAGGGGATCGGTTCCAGTACCTACCCCCCCCCCCCCCCGGAGCATTCATCACCCTGCCTGTACACCATACATTTCCCCCTGCTGCCCCCACCCCCCTGTAATCTTTCCGGCTTTCCTCCTCTCATTCCCATCGGCAGCTGCAAGCTCACAATAGGATCCTTCAGGATGGAGAGTGGGGGAAGGGTCTGGTAAATACGTCGCATTTACCCAGCCCCTTCCTTTCCTGAATGAACACAATGAGTGATTGGCATCAATCACTGTGTTCATTCATAACTGAAGCATAGTAGGAATTGGGGGGGGGGGGGGGGCTTGTCAAGTTGGCTGTACGGGGCCTGTGGTTCCTAACAGCAGCCCTGTTCTGAAGACACATGAACAGAAATATGTCCCAGATATTCGATGTTACATACTGCTGGACGATCGCCCCCTGTAGAGGGACCGGACAAGTAATACGTTCCTCTTACCCCGCTGTAGATGTCCACCGTCAAGGACTCGTTGTTGGGAGGGAAGACATCTTTGTGGGGACTGCTGCTATTCTGACATTCATTGAACTGAAACACAGACAGGAGCAGAATAAATCATTCAATGGATACAGTCAATGATCAGAGATGGAAGGAAAATACTTCACTGTACGCATGCTTTCACATCACATCCTCACACATCATCTGGCAGTCTAACAATAGGTCTCCTTATCATCTTCATTGTAGAAGATGACAGCAGCAATGCAGCCATGTACGGTTCCATGACAGGTGTTTGATTCTCCAAGTGAATATTTTCTAATACATTGAATTTCCCATCATTCTTAGAGCAACAATAAAAGAGATATTATCAGAGAAGAACTGTAAGTAATTGCGGCCGATATGCAGCCAGACTGTGAATGTAAGAAGAGGTCTGTTCTGTACGGCGACACGCAGGGACTGCACTGAGACCAAAAGTGAAGAATGGCAAACGTCATAGGGCAGAGGTTCCTAAAGTATTATTATTATGATTCAGGATTTATATTATTATTATAATTCAGGATTTATATTATTATTATTATTATTATAATACAGGATTTATATATTATTATTATTATTATTATACAGAATCTATATTATTATTATTATTATAATACAGGATTTATATTATTATAATACAGGATTTATATTATTATTATTATACAGGATTTATATTATTATTATACAGGATTATTAATATTTATTATTTTCATACAGGATTTATATTATTATTATTATTATTATTATTATAATACAGGATTTATATTATTATTATTATTATTATTATACAGGATTTATATTATTATTATTATACAGGATTTATATTATTATTATTATACAGGATTTATATTATTATTATACAGGATTTATATTATTATTATTATACAGGATTTATGGCGCCAACAGTTTGCTCAGCGCTTTACAATATAAAGGGAGACAATACAGCAACAATACAGTTCAATACAAGAGGGATAGGAGGGCCTGATCCTGGGAGCTGACAATCTAAGAGGGAGGGGATGCTGGTAAAGTACAGCTTGCAAGCATAATTTTATCGAGCTCTTTGATGTAAGGGGGAACTCTAATGTATAGGGGGACTCTGATGTTAACTCTCATGTAAGGGGGGGACTCTGATAGGGACTCTCATGTAAGAGGGGGGGATGCTGATTGGAAGTGTTTTCTAAGGGGGGACTCTAATGGGGACTTTTGTATAAGGGGGGGTCTCTGATGGGGAATTTCATATAAGGGGGGTCTCTGATGGGGACTTTCGTATAAGGGGGGTCTCTGATGGGGACTTTCGTATAAGGGGGGGGTCTCTGATGGGGACCTTCGTATAAGGGGGGTCTCTGATGGGGACTTTCGTGTAAGGGGGGTCTCTGATGGGGACTTTTGTGTAAGGGGGGGGTCTCTGATGAGGACTTTCATATAAGGGGGGTCTCTGATGAGGACTTTCATATAAGGAGGGTCTCTGATGGGGACTTTTGTATAAGGGGGGGTCTCTGATGGGGACTTTTGTATAAGGGGGGTCTCTGATGGGGACTCTCATGTAAGAGAAGACTCTGATCAGGACTTTCATATAAGGGGGGTCTCTGATGAGGACTTTCAAATAAGGAGGGTCTCTGATGGGGACTCTCATGTAAGAGAAGACTCTGATGGGGACTTTCATATAAGGAGGGGGGTCTCTGAGGGGGACTCTCATATATGAGGTTTGATGCAAGTGGGTACTCTGACGGGGATTCTCCTGTAATAGAGGACTCTGATGTGGTCTCTGATGTATGAGGTTTGATGTAAGGGGAGACTGATGGGGGCTCTCAAGTAAGAGGGGATTCTGAAATAAGAGGGGACTCTGGTGGAGATTTTGAGATGAGAGTCTGCAGCAGGGGCTGATCTGTGTCAGACATTTGTGAACACTGCCAAGAACAGAACTGAAATTCTCCTGACATGTTGGTGAGTTGTGATATCCTCACGTTGGGAATGTGTCAGGCAGGGAGATCCATTCAGGATGATTTGAACATTTTCACCGTTTAGAGGAACACTTGTATATGACGTCTCTACCAGAAATATAATTGCAGGGAAGGTAGCGCGGCACCTTGTGTACCGCCATCATTTCTATGTGACAGGTATATGGGAAGGGTACTCACGGCATCCATGTTGGTCTTCTTATAAAAAGCTTCTGCGAACACAGCCATGACAAAGAGGTTGATGAGAAAGGACACGAACAGAGCGATGGTGGACTCGATCAGGAAATACTTGTTAGCTTCGCTCACCTCCTTCTTGTTCCTGCGATCCACTTCTCTAGACTGAAGATATCACGGAATGTTAAAGACCGAACTCCAGGCAGATGAAAGAAAAACAAACAAACGCAGCTCTGTGATCATTAAATGCATCTTTTACATACAAGCGGTGTCAGTGCCTCAATGTGACCTGGTATCAGCCTCTTACAGTCCCTGCATAGCATAGCTGGAGTGTGAGAGGAAGAAAACAGGCTGAACTGAAGCATGCTGATAGGAGGAGAGAGCAGAGTGACAAGGAGATGACCTCATCCCTGTGCTGCTTCTCCTTTCACCACCTAGTCCCAGGCTGGAAGTAGATTGACTGGTGCTGGCCAACAGACTGAGGGCATCTAGTGGCAGAATAAAAGTACTGCGGGGGAAGGCTCTGAACTGACACTGAATATGTTTTGTTGATACATTTATAAGGCCAGCCACATATGGGTCAAAATTCGACCAATTCTTTCATCCGAAAATCATTATATTGATTCACTATTATCCTTATATATTCCTTCACTACTAAAGCCGGCCATACATGGGTCGAATTCCGAAATAAATTTCTTTCTAAGAATTTTCGTTAGAATTTTGCACCATTAGTGGGTCACAGAAACGGATGATTTTCATGTGACCATCGAATTTAATACATGGGTGGAAAATTGACCGATTTTTATCATACAAAAATCGGACCTAAGAATAATCGGGCGATTTTCGCTCTGTTAGTGGGTCAATGGCACCGGCCGATTTTCGTGGTTCCTCCCCTTTTCGGTGATCGGGTATGTTGGAAAATTTGTGAAAAAATGACCGATTTTCGACTCAATGATGGTCAAATCGTACAATTGTTTTTCTGAAAAGAATATGCGCATGAGCCGTGACCTGGAAGGAACAGAAGTTTCGCCTGTTATATACGGGGTGCACTTTATGATTCGGTCAGCCGATTTTCGAAATCATTGATGGCACCATCGGATTGATGAGCGAATGTCATTTTCGATTTTCGGACGGAAAATCGTTCGGAATTCGACCCGTGTATGGCCTGCATTAGTCTGATGATTTTTATGTCGGTATTATCAAGCAGGGCTCTCCATAAATAACAGTTGTTGTCAGGGGCGGACTGACAACTCATGGGGCCCCCGGGCAATAGAGGATCATGGGGCCCCCAGGCAATAGGGCATCATGGGGTCCCCGGGCAATAGGGGATCATGGGGCCCCTGTGTCCTTGCCCGTAGTCAGAGCACACCCAAAAAAAGCCTATAAAAGGTACCAGGGGCATCTCATGGGGCCCCCTACTGACCCCGGGGACCTCGGGCAGTGCCCGAGTACATGAATGGTCAGTCCGCCCCTGGTTGTCATTAACTGAGACAAAAATTAAAGTCGAAACAAATGAAACAAAAATATACAATACGGCCAGCCAGGATAGGTTCACACCGAGCGCAGGCGCATTTCTGCACGATTTTTGTGCATCAGGTGAAGGGCGGCCCATTCATTTCAATGGGCCGCCCTACACAGGAGAAACGCGGTTTGGACGCATGCAAATATGCAGCATTTCCAGATACGGGGGGGGGGGGGTCAAAATCGCACGCAGAAAAACGCACTTACCTTTAGTAGACAATTAGTGGCAACGCCGCACGGCTGCTAAAGGGAAGTGCGTTTGTCTGCATTTAAGGAACGTATGTGATTTTGCGAGCGTTCCCAACACGCAGGACTGCGAACTTAGCTTTATTTACAATGCAGGATGAGATTTTTTTGTATTATAAGCAGAGTTGATTTTTTTTTTTTAATTATATTAAAAAGCAAAATGTTTAGCTTAAGAATTTAAAAAATTTATATTATATTTTTTGTATTATTATTTTTATTATACAGGATTTATTTAGCGGCAACAGTTTACACCGCGCTTTACAATATAATATTATATTTTTATATTTAAAAAAAAACATTTTTAGCATATGGTTAGCACTTCCTCCTGGCAGTACTCGGGTCGTTGGTTCAAATCCCAACCACAGCACCACCTGCCTGGAGTTTGCATGTTCTCCCTGTGCCTGCATGGGTTTCCTCCGGGTACTCCGGTTTCCTTCCAAACTCCATGCTGAATTAAATGGTTAATTGAATCCTGTCTAAATTGTCCCTAGTATGTGTATGTATGAATGTGAGTTAGGGACCTTAGATTGTACGCCCCTTGAGGGTTAGGGACCTTAGATTGTACACCCCTTGAGGGTTAGGGACTGATGTGAATGTACAATATATATGTAAAGCACGGAGTACATTGACGGCGCTATATAAGTACCTGAAATAAATAAGAAACAGTAACATTTTTATATTATGTCTTAATATTTTTTTTATATATTTATATTGAAAAACAAAACTTTTAGCATTGGAATTGATAAAACTTTTATATTATAGTTTTATATTTTTGTATTATATATTTATTATTAAAAAAAATGTTTAGCATAAGAAACGGTAACATTTTTTAGATTATATCTTTATCTTTTTTAATTATATTTTTATATTAAAAAACAAAACTTTTAGCATAGGAAATGGTAACATTTGTATATTATATTTTTATATTAAAAAACAACATTTTTAGCGCAGGAATTTGTAAATGTTTTATATTATATCTTGAAACGCAGTCCAGATGCAGCCTGTTCTACTTTTTTTTTCTGCACCCGGAACGCACTAGAACTGCAAGCACTGATGTGAACTATGACATTGACAACCATATCACCTACTTTCTGTGTGTTTTGGATGCAGAAAAAAGCAACTGAAATGCATGGAGTGTGAACTGGCCCTTAATGTATACATTACCTTGACCAGCGAGGAGTGCAGGTATATGTTGTGCGGCATGATAATGGCTCCAATAATTCCAACAGCTTGCAGTAATTCCGGGGATCCACAGCCAGAACAGTATGGGAAGAACATGCCTTTTATCACCTCTCTCTGGTCAGGGTGAACCACCACATACTGCGGGGGACACAACAATGTGAAAATCAATTGGGGACACCATGGTGATAGAACAACACATCTGAGCTCCTTCCAGGACCAGCTTCCCGGCGTATTTACTAAACCAAATTCATTCTTGTTTTCTTAAAAGGAATCTATAGATATTTGATCACAAAAGAATACAATACGCCAGACTGGGCGGGGCTACAATGTATCGCAATGATGTCACATATCATATCCAAACACTTCACAATCCCACATGGAAGAAAAATATATTTGAAATATATTTTAAAAAATATTCTTCCCAAATATATTGCCATGTATTTGAAATGCTACAATTTTGGCCTTATTCAATATATTTTTTAAATTTTTATTTTATATATACACTGCATGTTGAAATGCGTTTTTATTACAAAATATATGAAAAATATTTTTTAGAAATACATTTCAAATCTACTGTATGTCTTTAAAAATACAAAAATCTACATTTTTGGAATGCATTTACAAATATATGTAAAAATATATGTTTAAAATGACTTTTATATGTTAAAAAAAATCTGAAGCATATATTTTAAAAACAATTATATTTTTTAAAAATATATATTTTTTAATATATTCTTCAGATTTTTTTTTAACATATAAGAAAAGTCATTTTAACATATATTTTTACATATATTTGTAAATGCATTCCAAAAATGTAGATTTGTATTTTTAAATATATTCTTCAGATTTTTTTTAACATGTAAAAAAGTCATTTTAACATATATTTTTACATATATTTAAAAATACAAATCTACATTTTTGGAATGCATTTACAAATATATGTAAAAATATATGTTAAAAAAGACTTTTCTTATATGTTAAAAAAAAATCTGAAGAATATATTTTAAAAAATATATATTTTTAAAAATATAATTGTTTTAAAAAATATATGCTTCAGATTTTTTTTTTAAGTCATTTTAAACATATGTTTTTTACATATATTTGTAAATGCATTCCAAAAATGTAGATTTGTATTTTTAAAAAGACATACAGTATATTTGAAATGTATTTTGAAAAATATTTTTCATCTATGTTGTAAAAATGCATTTCAACATGCAGTATATATATATATATATATATATATATATATATATATATATATATTTATTTATTTTTTATCGAAATATATTTTGAAATATATTGAATATGGCCAAAATTGTAGCATTTAATATATGTGCCAATATATTTGGGAAGAATATTTTTAAAATATATTTTTAAATATATAAAAAAAATCTGAAGAATATATTTAAAAAATATATATTTTTAAAAAATAAATTATTGAATATGGCCAAATATATTTAATATTTCAAATATATAAAAAAACTGAAGAATATTTTTTAAAAATATATATATTTTTAAAAATATAATTTTTTTAAAATATATGCTTCAGATTTTTTTTAAAGTCATTTTCCAAAATGTAGATTTTTATTTTTAAAGACATACAGTATATTTGAAATGTATTTTTAAAAATATTTTTCATATATTTTGTAATAAAAACGCATGTCAACATGCAATGTATATATATATATATATATATATATATATATATATATATATTTTATTTATTTATTGAGATATATTTTGAAATATATTGAATATGGCCAAAATTGTAGCATTTAATATATGTGGCAATATATTTGGGAAGAATATTTTTAAAATATATTTTAAATATCTAAAAAAAAATCTGAAGAATATATTAAAAGAAATCTATTCTAATCAGCATTATGGTTGCCCTCAAAGGGCCGGTTGTATCTGTAAGACTAGATGTCTAGAGCACCCCCCCCCCCCCCCCCCCATTGCACCATTTCATCAGATGTCCACACCCTCCCTAACACCACCGTGCACCCCCCTTTGGAAAGCAGAAAGTGCAGGGTCTGGAGGAGGACCAGAGGAGGAGTGGAGTCAGTTATCAGAGTCTGCTAAATGCTGAGACCAGGGGAGGCAGAGATGAGGGGGTGCTGCAGCTGCACTGAGAGGTGCAGGATTTGGCAGAGGAGTTCTATTCTCCTCTCTGCTGCTGACTGCTGAGACAAGGTGGGGGTGGAGACAAGGGGGTACCTGCAGGAGAGGTGCAAGAACCACATGGAATGGCCTGGAGGGCCGGATTCGGCCTGCGGGCCTTGTGTTCGATATTTGTGCTTGAAATGATTTGGATTCTCCCGTCATCTATGCCTCACCTCATAGCCAAAAGTGACCGCCATTATAGTGATGAGAAGGCCAAAGAAAGCTTCCAGTTTCCGCAGACCTGTCAATAGGAAAAATATCCGTCTTTAATCATTCGCTTCCAATTTTTCACACACATTGAAATCAGTGTTTTTTGTACAAGAAAATTACTTCTTTACAACAAAATTACTTTTGGTGAAACATGATTTTTTTTTTCTGAAGCTAGAGGCCCCAGAGAATAAAATGGTGGCTGTTGCAATCTTTTATGCCACATAATATTTGCGCAAGCCATTATCAAATACAAATTTTTCGATAGAAAATATACACTGGAATGAATTTTGCTGCACACAAACGCAATGCACACGGAATCTGTTGTAGCTGTGCATGGTGGCCAATCAGTTCCAGGGTATTTTTTTCCTACATTTCTTTAGTTACTTCCTGGTTTCTGGCCTAGGCAAATGATGTCCTACATCCCAGGAGTCTTCAGAAGCTGAGGAGGGGTTTTCTTAGCTCAAGATGGTTACAGCTAGAAATGCTGGGGGGGGGGGGGGGTTCAAAGTGATTTCTCGGCAAAATAAAGCCAGGAGACATGGAGGGATGGGAGAGTTTTGCTTTGAATATTAACCCCTCACACAACTATGCGGGCCTCACGGAATTGAGCTTTTCCCCATGGGGCTGCATATTTGCGTACCTGTCTTTCTGCTGGGAGTGTGCCGCACAGCACACTCCCAGCACAAAGACCGCGGTGTCACTGAGAGCCCCAGGTCCCGTTTTAACAATCGGGACCCGGGACTCCCGATTCCAGATCACATGATCGCTGTAATAGCCTCTGATTGGGTATCACAGTGATCAGTCACTGTACAGCCCGGCCCCCTTGCTTTTTTTCTCTCTCTATGAATGAAGGAGAGAGATACATTGTATCATTATATACATCCTATTATACATTGTATCATTTTATACATCCTATTATACATTGTATCATTATATACATCCCATTATACGTTGTATCACTATATATATGAAATCCTATTATACATTGTATCATTTTATACATCCTATTATACATTGTTATCGTATATACCATGAATTTTCTTCATTCTATTATACATTGTATCATCATATACATCCTATTATACATTGTATCATTATATAAATTCCATTATGCATTGTATCATTATATACATCCTATTATACATTGTATGATTATATACATCCTATTATACATTGTATCATCATATACATCCTATTATACATTGTATCATCATATATTATATCCTATTATACATTGTATCATCATATACATCCTATTATACATTGTATCATTATATACATCCTATTATACATTGTATCATTATATAAATTCCATTATGCATTGTATCATTATATACATCCTATTATACATTGTATCATTATATACATTCTATTATACGTTGTATCATTTTATACATCCTATTATACATTGTATCATTATATACATCCTATTATACATTGTGTATCACTATATACATCCTATTATACATTGTATCGTTATATATATCCTATTATACATTGTATCGTTATATACATCCTATTATACATTGTATCATTATATACATCCTATTATACATTGTATCGTTATATACATCCTATTATACGTTGTATCGTTATATACATCCTATTATACATTGTATCTCTCTAACTCCTGGCATAGAGAATGTTTGTTAAAAAAAAAAAGATAAATAAATATTAAAAAATAAAAGTAAAAATAAAGAAAAATACCTAGATCAAGGTTTGATCTAGTTTAGTGCCAGGCAGGGGCGGACTGACCATTTGGAAACTCGGGCAGTGCCCGAGGGCCCGGGGTCAGTAGGGAGCCCCATGAGATGCCCCTGGAACCTTTCATAGGCTTTTTTGGGTGTTGTTTGAGTGTGGGCAAGGACACAGGGGCCCCGTGATCCTTTATTGCCCGGGAGCCCCATGAGTTGTCAGTCCACCCCTGGTGCCAGGGTTAGTGTTTGGGTCAAAGGTCTGGATTTAAAAAAAAAAAAAATTGGTATCAGTGTCAGTGTGTTTTAGGAAAAAAAAAAGACAAAAACAAAATGCGCACTATTGTTTCTGGGCTGTACTACGGGTACAAACATCAAATAACATACACATATATGGTATCGCTGTGATCGTCAAGAGCTGGAGAATTTATTTTGGGTTGTTCTTTGGTTGTAGGTTATGGTAGTTACAAGAAACACACAGCTAAATAAAATAAAATTATTTTTTTTTTACTATTTTGGGCCACTTTTCCTTTCAGAAGCTATCCATTACCATTTACCACCAAATGAAAGCCCAATTTGTCCTGAAAAAATCAAAGTATAATTCACCTGGATGTACAAAGTAGTTGTGATGATATGTATACGGTTTTACTAACAAATGTCAACATTGCAGAATTGTGCTTAGGCATTTAGATTTGTTTTACCCTTAGGCGTGAAGGGGTTAAAAAACAAATCAAATAGCATTTTAGATTTGTGGTGCTCAGATGCCGTGTAGTTCTGCTAAACTCTAAAAGTGAACTTATTTTTTTGCTAAATGCACTGCTCAAAAAACATGAAAGGAACACTTTGAAAACACATCAAAATCTCAATGGGGAAGAATCTCCTGTTGGATCTCTATACTGATATGGACGGGGTAATGTGTTAGGAATGTAAGGACGCCCCATCATTTGATGGAAATGATCGACCTCAGAGGACTGAATTCAAAGACACCCGAAAATCAAAGTGAAAAAATGATGCAGCAGGCGAGTTCATTTGGCTAAAATGTCATTGCAGCAACTCAGAATGGTCCTCAGTAGTTTGTATGGCCCCCACGTGCTTGTATGCATGCCTGACAACGTCGGGGGAGGCTCCTAATGAGACCACGGGTGGTGTCCTGGGGGATTTCTTCACAGATCTGTACTAGGGCATCACTGAGCTCCTAGACAGTCTGAGGTGCAATCTTGCGGTGTCGGTTGGACCGAAACATGATATCCCAGAGGGGTTCTATTGGATTTAGAACAGATGAGCGATGGGGGGGGGGGGGGATTCAATGGTATCAATTCCTTCATCCTCCAGGAATTGCCTGCCTACTCTCCCCACATGAGGCCGGACATTGTTGTGCACCAGGAGGAACCCAGGACCCCCTGCACCAGCGTAGGGTCTGACAAAGGGTCCAAGGATTTCATCCCAATACCTAATGGCAGTCAGGGTGCCATTGTCTAGTCTGTAGAGGTCTGTGTGTCCCTCCATGGATATGCCTCTCTAGACCATCACTGACCCACCACCAAAACGGTCATTCTGAACCATGTTACAGGCAGCAGAACGTTCTCCACGGCTTCTCCAGACCCTTTCACGTCTGTCACATGTGCTCAGGGTGAACCTGCCCTCATCTGTGAAAAGCACAGGGTGCCAGTGGTGGACCTGCCAATTCTGGTGTTCAATAGCAAATGCCATTTGAGCTCTATGGTGCCAGACAGTGAGCACAGAGTCCAAAATTGGACATTGGGCCCTCAGGCCACCCTCATGAAGTCTGTTTCTGATTGTTTGGTCAGAGACATTCACACCAGTGGCCTGCTGGAGGTCATTTTGTAGGGCTCTGGCAGTGCTCATCCTGTTCCTCCTTGCACAAAGGAGCAGATACCGGTCCTGCTAATGGGTTAAGGACCTTCTACAGCCCTGTCCTGCTCTCCTAGAGTAACTGCCTGTCTCCTGGAATCTCCTCCATGGTCTTGAGACTGTGCTGGGAGACACAGCAAACCTTCTGGCAATGACACATATTGATGTGCCATCCTGGAGGAGTTGGACTGCCTGTGCAACCTCTGTAGGGTCCAGGTATGGCCTCATGCTACCAGTAGTGACACTGACCCTAGCCAAATGCAAAACTAGTGAAAAACATTCAGAGTAGGGAAAAAAATGTCAGTGGCTTCCATCTGTAAAACCATTCCTGTTTTGGGGGTTGTTTCATTGTTGCCCATCTAGTGCACCTGTTGTCAATTTCATTAACACCAAAGCAGCTGAAACTGATGAACAACCCCCTCTGCTACTTACCTGACCAGATCAATATCCCAGGAGTGTCACTGACTTGATGCTAGACTCTAAATAAAAAAGTGTTCCTTTCATTTTGTTTTGAGCAGTGTATATAATTGAAAGCATTTTATTATATCTATTCTATAGGTGCCAAAAAATGCCTGTTGATCCTGCCAGAAGTCATGTGAGTTGATAACAGTGGCTAAATGGTTAGCACTTTCGCCTGGCAGTACTCGGGTCGTTGGTTCAATTTCCAACCACGGCACTACCTGCCTGGAGTTTGCATGTGCTCCCTGTGCCTGCGTGGGTATCCTCTGGGTACTCCGGTTTCCTCCCACACTCCAAAGACATGCTGGTAGGTTAAGTGGCTCCTGTCTACAGTGGCCCTAGTATGTGTATGTATGAATGTACAGACAGAAAATGCTGTACAATAAACCCTCAAACACTATGTGCAGTCCAAACCCTATAATCCAATCTTTAAATCAAATTCTTCTCGTGTTCAAAAAAATTCTTCCGATAATATACCTGAAAAAGAAAAAAATATATACACATAGTGCTTTATCTTTTTTTATATCCAAATAATTTGGATATAAAAAAAGATAATGCACTATGTGTATATATTTTTTTCTTTTTGAGGTATATTATCGGAAGAATTTTTTTGAACACGAGAAGAATTTGAGTTAAAGATTGGACTTATAGGGTTTGGACTGCACATAGTGTTTGAGGGTTTATTGTACAGCATTTTCTGTCTGCTGATTTTTGTACATCTTTTGGGGTAAAGGTGTTGGTGGTGCTGTGGGGAATTGAATTTATTTATTAAGAGAGTGGTTTTTGATTCTATGTATGAATGTAGGTTAGGGACCTTAGATTGTACACCCCTTGAGGGTTAGGGACTGATGTGAATGTACAATACTGTATATATGGGCAGCACAGTGGCTAAATGGTTAGCACTTCTGCCTGGCAGTACTCGGGTCGTTGGTTCGTATCCTAACCACGGCACCACCTGCCTGGAGTTTGCATGTTCTTCCTGTGCCTGTGTGAGTTTCTTCCAGGTACTTGGAGGAAACCCACATGCTGGTAGGTGAATTAGCTCCTGTCTAAATTGCCCCTAGTATGTGTATGTATGAATGTGAGTTAGGGACCTTAGATTGTACACCCCTTGAGGGTTAGGGACTGATGTGAATGTATAATATATATATACATATACACACACACACATGTAAAGTGCTGCTTAAATTGACGTCACTATGTATGTACCTGAAATAAATAAATAACGCACTGCATAAATTGATGGCGCTATATAAGTACCTGTAATAAATAAACTTCCTGTGCCGAACTCCTATTACTTACATTGTTCCCAGAGACTACAGAACCCCTACCCCCATGCTATGGAGAAAAAATGAGAGGGAGATGATCTGGAGTCCTAAAACACATCCTGGCTTAGGTTGACAAGTCTGCGCCACCATAAATATACCCCAGGCAATGAGCGTTGTCACTCTAGGACAGGAAATGTGTGACTGACAGAATCACCAGGTGAAAATACAAGGAAAAAAGTAAGAACAAAATAAAACTAATGCAGCCACCACACTTAAGGACTAGCAAGGTGCAATATATTGTATCACACATCCCTTCCTCCTAGATTGTAAGCTCCCAGGAGCTGGGCCCTCTGTTTCCTCTTGTACCAAATTGTATTGTCTACCTCCAATTTGTAAAGCGCTGAACAAACTGTTGGCACAATATAAATCCTGTATAATAATAATAATATGTTACTTTTTTTGTTTTTGGGTTTAGATATCCTTTACATTTACCTGGCAACAGCTGAAAATGTTTAGCAAGGAGTCCACGCAGATCTTTCGATGTCTTATAGGGTTAAAGTGGACCTCCACGTACTACTTTTTTCCTGTTTTTTGTTTTTTTTCTTTTTTAATGCTAGATAAAGGTTAGAACCACTGTCAAGTGTTTAGTGTTCCTGGGGTCACTGCACCTTTGCAACTGAGGGGAGGAAAGGTATCCATGTCCTTTGTAGCAACCAGACTCATTAGGGTTGATTTACGAAAACTGGAGAATGCAAAGTCTGGTGCAGTTATACATGGGAGCCAATCAGCTTCTGACTTCAGGTTGTTAAATTAAGCTTTGACAATAAAACCTGGAAGCTGATTGGTTTCTATGCAGAGCTGCACCTGATTTTGCACTCTAAGGTTTTAGTAAATCAACTTCTTTTGTTTGCGTAGTTTTTCATTGAGACAAACCTTAGGACTCATGTACACTGCAGCTGATAAGCTCACGTTTAGGAGCCATTCTGCCTTTTTTTCAGCAGCCCCTGAACTCCCCCCAATGTTTTCCTAGGTGTCCATGTACACATCGTCGTTTACAGTCATTTACAGGCAGTCGAGTTTACAGTCGTTGTTTTGAATGCAACAAACTTGCGTTCAGACGTCAATGTTATCAGTGTTTCAAATGCAAAACGCTTGTAAACGCGTCTAAACGCGGTAAATTGCATTTATAAGCATTTGCATTTGAAATTTTTTTTAACTCTTCCAGTTCCCAATGCTGGCCAGAGCCTTTTTTCATCATGAAAAATGCATGCAAAGAGTTTTCAAGGTACTCGGATGGACAAAACCCTGAACACAGGATGTTCCTACCAAGCTTGTCACACATTGTAATGACCAATTCACACCTCAGACCTCTCCCCCCTTGGAAACCAAAGATATGTTAATGACCATTCACAACTCAAAGTCCTCATGAAGACCCCCTGCCAGGTGGCCTTAATGACTCCCCCCACCAGACACCTTTCCCACCCTTGGAAACAAAAGAAATGTTAATGAGCAACTCACACCTAAGCTAATCTCAACACATACTTACCCATACTTAAAAAGCCCTCCCTGGACCCCACCGACCCGAACAACCTTTGACCTATCTCTCTGCTGCCATTTACATCCAAATTCCTTGAGCGCTTAGTCTATACTCGCCTAAGCTCCCACCTAAACGACAACAACTTCCTCGACCCCCTACAGTCTGGCTTCCGTCCCCTACACTCCACCGAAACCGCCTTACTCAAACTCACAAACGATCTGCTAACCAACAAAGCTAATGGCCACTATTCAGTGCTCCTACTCCTTGACCTCTCCACGGCCTTCGACACAGTCGACCACCCCCTCCTCCTCAAGAAACTACACTCACTTGGCCTCAGAGACTCCGCTCTCTCCTGGCTCTCATCCTACCTATCACAACGCTCATTCAGCGTTACCTATAACACTACCATCTCCCCCCCACTGCCCCTCTCTGTTGGGGTCTCTCAATGCTCTGTCCTCCGGCCCCTTCTTTTCTCCATCTCCACCTCCTCCCTTGGCCAACTGATACACTCTCACAGCTTCAACTACCACCTCTATGCTGACGACACGCAAATCTATCTCTCGACCCCTCACCTCACCCCTTCAGTCTCCGCCCGAATCACCAGCCTATTAAACGACATATCAGATTGGATGTTGCTCCATTTCCTTAAACTGAACCTCTCCAAAACCGAGCTCCTAGTCTTCCCCCCAGCCCGCGCACCCCCCCCCCACTGACTTCTCCATCACGTCCAACCATGCCACCATCAAGCCCACCCCACAAGCCAGAGTACTTGGTGTCATTCTGGACTCCAATCTATCCGTCCAATCGCTACCAAACTCATGCAGACTCCACCTCTGCAACATCGCCAAAATCCGCACGTTCCTAACCCCAGAAACCACTAAGCAGCTCATCCACTCCCTCATTGTATCACGACTCGACTACTGCAACTCCCTCCTCACTGGCCTGCCTCACAACAGGCTATCCATACTTCAGTCGATCCTGAATATGGCCGCCAGACTCATCCACCTTACTAACCGCTCCGTTTCCGCCACCCCCCTCTGCCAATCCCTCCACTGGCTTCCGATTGCCCAACGCATCAAATTCAGAATGCTAACACTGACGTACAAAGCTGTCCATAACTCTTTCCCAAACAACATCACCGACCTGATATCCAAATACCACCTAAAACGCACTCTCCACTCTTCACAAGACCTCCTTCTCTCTAGTTCCCTGATCTCCCCCTCCCATGCCCGCCTTCAGGACTTCTCCAGGGCATCACCCATCCTCTGAAACTCCCTACCCCAATCTATCAGACTATCACCCACTCTCCTCTCCTTTAGGACCACCCTGAAAACCCACCTCTTCAGAGAAGCCTACCCCCTTCCTCTGCTAACTGCCGATCTCCTCCACTCTTCCTACCACTCCATCCCCCGCAGCTTTTCCTCCCGTACCACTATCCCCTCCCTCCTAGATTGTAAGCTCCAAGGAGCAGGGCCCTCGAACCCCTCGTGTATCGCATTGTATTGTTTTTGTACTGTCTCATGTATTGTCCCCCATTGTAATGTACAGCGCTGAGCGAACTGTTGGCGCTATATAAATACTGTATAATAATAATAATAATAATACTGCTGTCTCTGCTTCTACTCTCTGTATTTCTTTGAAACAGTCTTAAATAGTTCATAATTTAACACTTTTCAGTGCATTCTGGACATTTTGGAGGTTCTCCTGTGCTTATCTTTAAAAAATGCTTCTAAACGCAAATGCACATAAACGTGGTATGCAAACATGGCTAAACAGACGTTTTTTAACCTACGTTTTCCAGCAGTCAGTTTCCATCGTTCAGAAACGTCCCGAGTACATGGGGCCTTAGCCTACCTGACTATTTCCTCGTGCCAAGACTGGACTTATCTAATCAAAGTGCAGATAATATGAACAATTCTGCATACTTTTTACTGCTTGAAAGCAGTGCTGTCATTACAATGTATACATCGCACAAATCAGCAAATATCAGTGACTCACTATGTAGTAAATCCAGAAAGAGGACAAAGTGCCTAGATACAGTCACAAGACTGGAGTTCAAGGACGGCTTCTTAATAATAAACATTTTTTTTTACAAAAACTACAATGTTGTCGTATTTGGGGAAATGCCGGAAAATGTGAACTTACCGTATTTATCAAGAAACAAAAAGAATAGTGTATCAATGATGGTTATTAGGACTCCGCCCCATAATGGAATCCTGCACAGAAGAACATGAATTGGCAATAAAAATATGAGTGAAGGTCATACTACATTGATAGAAACCCTCTTTCAAAGAAACATTTCACCTAAAAACATATTTACATGATCCAAAATCCCTTTTGTGTAGCATCTACTCCAGGTTTTCTCAATCAGGGTTCTGTGGAACACTAGGGTTGCTCCAAAGTTTACTAGGTTCCTTGAGTAGTGAGAAATGGTTGATTGATCTCCCGCATATACTGCCCACCAATGTAAGGGGACATGCCCCTACTGACCACTGTCTGTTCTCTTCTGGTCATCGTAGTAAGGCAAAATTACCAATGTAAGGGAACATTCCTCTACTGACAACTATCTTTTCTCTTCTGGCCAATATTGTAAGGGGACAGCACCAACCACTGTAAGTAGGGACAAAATGCCCATTCCTACTGACAACTATGACACCACCAATGTACTGTACTGACCACTTGTTTTTCTTCTTATGGTCATCATAGTAAGGCAACACTACCAATGTAAGGGAACATTCCTCTACTGACAACTATCTTTTCTCTTCTGGCCAATATTGTAAGGGGACACCACCAATGTTAGGTGGACATTTCTTCGTTGACCACTGTCTGACTACCAGTGTAAGGATACATTTCCTCACCAACCACTGCCTGTTCTCTTCTAACCATCAATGTAAGAGTACACCACCAGTGTAAGGGTACACTTACTGACTACTGTCTGATTACCAAAGTAAGGGGACACTGTCCTACCCAGGGTATATTTGTTCACTAACAAGTGTCCTCTTTTGGCCATAAATGTAAGGAAACACCTCCAATGACCTAATGGCCCTACTGACCACTATCTGACCACCAATGTAAGGGGACATTTCCCTAAGGACCAATGTATGTTCTCTTCTGGGCATAAATGTAAGGGGACACCAACAATGTATGGAGACATTTCCCTACTGACTACTGTCTGACTGCCAATGCAAGGGGACATTTCCCTACTGACCACTGTGTGACCACCAATGAAAGGAATGAAAGGATACATTCTTCTACTAACCACTGTCTGTTTGGCCATAAATGTAGAGGGACACTACCAATATAAGGGGACATTTATCTAATGACCGCTATCCAACCACCTAAGGGGACATTTCTCTTCTGACCACTGTTGATTTCTTCTGGCTATCAATGTAGGGGCATATCACCAATGTAAAAGTACATTTTCCTACTGAACACTATCTTACCACCAATGTAGGCTGGACATTTCCCTGCTGACTACTGTCTGACCACCAATGTAAGGAGATATTTCTTCACTGTCCACTAAATTTCTCTTCCAACAACTGTCTGCTCTCTTCTGGCCATGAATGTAATAAGACACCACCAATGTAAGAGGACATTTTCCTACTGACCACTGTCTGACCACCACTGTAAGGGGATATTTCTTCACTGACCACAGTTTGGCCACCAATGTAAGGGGGGAATTTCCCTACTGACTACTGTCTGACCACCATTGTAAGGATACATATTTCTTCCAACCACTGTCTGCTCTCTCCTGGCCATTTTTGTAAGGAGACACCATCAATATAAGGGGGCACTTCTCTACTGACCACTCTCTGGTCAACAATGTAGGGGGGGGGGGGCATTTCTCTTTTAAGCACTGTCTGTTATCTTCTGGCCATCCATGTAGGAAGACACCACCAAAGTAAGGGAACATTTTTCTACTGATCAATGCCTGTTTTCTTGTGTCCATCCAGGTAAGGGGACACCACTATTTCTCTAAAGACTGCTATCTAACCAGCAATTTAGAGGAGCATTTCTTCTCTAACCACTCTCTGTTATCTTCTGGCCGTCCATGTAAGGGACACCACCAATTAATGGGGATACGTCCCTAAAGACCACTATCTGGCCACCAATGTAGAGGAACATTTCTTCTCTAACCTCGCTCTGTTATCTTCTAGCCATCCATGTAAGAGACACCACCAATAAATGGGGATACGTCCCTAAAGACCACTATCTGGCCAGCAATGTAGAGGAGCATTACTCTTCTAACCAATGTCTGTTATTCTCTGGCCATCCATGTAAGGGGACACCACCAATGTAAGGGGACTTTTCCCCACAGACCACTGTCTGTTCTCTTCTGGCTATGAATACAGCCAGACACCACCAATGTAAGGGGATGTTTCCTTTACTGATCACTGTTTCACCACCAATGTAAGTGGACATTTCCCTACTGACCACTGTCTGACCACCATATTTCCTTACTGACTAATGTCTGTTCTCTTCTGGCCATCTATTATTATTATTGCTGATAATAATATTGTCGTAAAGAACAGTAGGTGTTAATAAAATGATCCGCTCTGGGTGTCAGAAATGCTAAGTACACCACATTCTATATTTTTATTTAAAACTTTCAACCACTTACTGATCATGTTAATACACCATAATATACCTAAAAAATATTGCAAGAGTTTCTCCATATTAAAAGGTTGAGATAGGCTGATCTAGTCTATGATTTTCTCTTATATCATTCACTTTTAAATACATAAACTATTTTTCTACAATGATTAACATATATCTTACCGCCCAGATGACAAGAGGCTGAATGCAATGGCGGTCCCAATGACTTCCTGCATATCTGAACCAATGATGGCAATTTCCACTAAAATCCATAATATCCAGCGAGGGACCTGAGGTAAAGAAAAAGGAAGCACAATATTTGTTCAAGAAAACCAGAGAAAATGTGGTGGATCAGTGGTTAGCATCACTTGTCTGCTTATTTTGTAGGTTCTCCTTATTTTTGATAGAGTTCCTCCAGGTTTTCAGCTTCTGACCACAACCCAACCACAACTATTGCCATCCAACCAAACTGTCCCTTTGTATTTGTATGTGTGTATATGAATTCAGAAGAGACGTCATCATCAGTCTTTTCAGGACCCAAAGTCACTTCAAAACACTGTTGAATATTCTGAATCAAGATACATTAAGGCAGGGGTAGGCAACCTTTGAGAGGTGGGGATCTACTTAAACAACATGGAAGAGATCAAAGATCACTGGGGTGAAGCACCCTTTAAAAAAAAATAAAATAAAAAATAAACTAGCAACTACCCCAGTACAATTCCTGCAACAGTGACCAAATGCTTATCAAATCACAGGGGTTGATTTACTAAAGGCAAATAGACGGTGCACTCTGCAAGTGCAGTTGCTCCAGAGCTTAGTAAATGAGGGGAAGCTCTGCTGACTTCATCATCCAATCATGTGCAGGCAAAAATGCTGTTTTTTATTTTCCTTTGCATGTGATTGGGTATTCTTTGCAAAGTGAAGCATTACCTCTATTACTAATCCCTGGAGCAACTGCACTTGCTGAATGCAACTGCCCTTTGCAAAGTGCACAGTCTATTTGCCTTTAATAAATCACCCCCCTCTGTTTTCACTAACAATATATTCAAATCATTATTAAAACACATAAATACAAGATAATTTACAAAATTCCTGTTAAATTCCTATGATGGCCTCATTCACATGGGATGTACTAAAGTGTATGCCCATGTGAGGGCCATGTTTATGTGCATTCCCATGCAGGCAGAACCCATTCATGTCAATTGGGAAGCACTGGCTGCACGGACACAGCCACTGATCCCAATCTGACTTCCGTGTGGGTGTGGGTGCACGGACACTGCCACTGATCCCAATCTGACTTCCGTGTGGGTGCGGCTGCATGGACACAGCCACTGATCCCAATCTGACATCCGTGTGGGTGCGGGTAGACAGACACAGCCACTGATCCCAATCTGACATCCGTGTGGGTGCGGCTACACGGACACAGCCACTAATCCCAATCTGACATCCGTGTGGGGTGCGGGTGCACAGACACAGCCACTGATCCCAATCTGACATCCGTGTGGGCGCTGGTGCACAGACACAGCCACTGATCCCAATCTGACATCCGTGTGGGTGCGGCTACACGGACACAGCCACTGATCCCAATCTGACATCCGCGTGAGTGCGGGTGCACGGACACTGCCACTGATCCCAATCTGCCATCCGTGTGGGTGCGGGTGCACGGACACAGCCACTGATCCCAATCTGACATCCGTGTGGGTGTGGGTGCACGGACACTGCCACTGATCCCAATCTGCCATCCGTGTGGGTGCGGGTGCACGGACACTGCCAGTGATCCCAATCTGCCATCCGTGTGGGTGCTGGTGCACGGACACAGCCACTGATCCCAATCTGACATCCGTGTGGGTGCGGGTGCACGGACACTGCCACTGATCCCAATCTGACATCCGTGTGGGTGCGGCTGCATGGACACAGCCACTGATCCCAATCTGACATCCGTGTGGGCGCTGGTGCACGGACACAGCCACTGATCCCAATCTGACATCCGCGTGGGTGCGGCTACACGGACACAGCCACTGATCCCAATCTGACATCCGTGTGGGTGCGGCTACACGGACACAGCCACTGATCCCAATCTGACATCCATGTGGGTACGGCTGCACGGACACTGCCACTGATCCCAATCTGCCATCCGTGTGGGTGCGGGTGCACGGACACAGCCACTGATCCCAATCTGACATCCGTGTGGGTGCGGGTGCACGGACACTGCCACTGATCCCAATCTGACATCCATGTGGGCGCTGGTGCAAGGACACAGCCACTGATCCCAATCTGATATCCGTGTGGGCGCTGGTGCACGGACACAGCCACTGATCTCAATCTGACATCCGTGTGGGTGCGGGTGCATGGACACAGCCACTGATCCCAATCTGACATCCGTGTGGGTGTGGGTACACGGACACAGCCACTGATCCCAATCTGACATCCGTGCGCGTGCACGGACACACCCACTGATCCCAATCTGACATCCGCGTGGGTGCGGGTACACGGACACAGCCACTGATCCCAATCTGACATCCGTGTGGGTGCAGCTGCATGGACACAGCCACTGATCGCAACATGACATCCGTGCGCATGCACGGACACAGCCACTGATCCCAATCTGACATCTGTGTGGGTGCGGGTACACGGACACAGCCACTGATCCCAATCTGACATCCGTGTGGGTGCGGGTACACGAACACAGCCATTGATCCCAATCTGACATCCGTGTGGGTGCGGGTACACAGACACAGCCACTGATCCCAATCTGACATCCGCGTGGGTGCGGGTACACGGACACAGCCACTGATCCCAATCTGACATCCGTGTGGGTGTGGGTACACGAACACAGCCACTGATCCCAATCTGACATCCGCGTGGGTGCGGGTACACAGACACAGCCACTGATCCCAATCTGACATCCATGTGGGTGCGGGTACACAGACACAGACAGTGTGAGTTCATGAACATGCACCTGCAATCACTACGATGCCAACTCGAGAGCTGCGACTGTGTCCATTCTGGCTGCTGCATCCCAGTTGACATGGATGGGACTGCCTGCATGGGGATACATGGAAGAACTGTAGTATGCCCTGTGTGAATGAGGCCTTACTATGTTTATTACCATTTTTTGTTCTTTTTTTTTTTAACAGTTATATTTTCATTTTTATTTTGTCCTGGGGGGGCGCTTTGGGGGAACATCAGAGATCTAAACAGACCCTTGATATCTTTTTTGGACAGAGCAAGGGACTGAGCACACAGAGTCCTCAGTCCCCTTCTAGGCCACCTCAGCTGCACTGCAGATGAATGAATAGAAGTCTCTGGACAGAGGCTCCTATTCATGCAGATACTAAAGCATAACACAGTTTGCTACATGTACAGTACATGTATGAACAGAGGAGCGATGAGTACATGTATGAACACAGGAGCGGTGAGTACATGTATGAACACAGGAGCGGTGAGTACATGTATGAACAGAGGAGCGATGAGTACATGTATGAACACAGGAGCGGTGAGTACATGTATGAACACAAGAGCGATGAGTACATGTACGAACACAGGAGTGATGAGTACATGTATGAACACAGGAGCGGTGAGTACATGTATGAACAGAGGAGCGATGAGTACATGTATGAACACAGGAGCGGTGAGTACATGTATGAACACAAGAGCGATGAGTACATGTATGAACACAGGAGCGATGAGTACATGTATGAACACAGGAGCGATGAGTACATGTATGAACACAGGAGCGATGAGTACATGTACAAAATCTGGTTTAATGGTTTTGTACATGAATCCTTTAAGTAATATTTGGCCTCCTTTATTGGCTGTGAACTTACCTTTGGATAGTAAGCCCGGCAGATTTCTCCCAGATCTCTGCCCGTCACCACACCCAACCGCAGCGCGCTAGCCTCTGGCACACCAGTCCGAGGAAAGTAGCACCAAGCAGAACCCACAGGAGCTGCAAACACAGAAGAAAGAGATGATTGTGCTGTACAAACTGAAGAACACCTCTTGGGTGACTAGGCTGAACAGCATTTTCCAGGTTGCATTTCAACAGTTCCACATTAAAGGCCAGTTCACATGACATGCGTTTCAGTTGCTTTTTTTCTGCATCCAAAACGCACAGAAAGTAGGTGATATGGCTGTCAATGTCATAGTTCACATCAGGGCTTGCAGTTCTAGTGCATTCCGGGTGCAGAAAAGAAAGTAGAACAGGCTGCATTTTTTCTGCACAGAACTGTACTGGAACACGGGAAAACGCACCAAAAACGCACTGGAACACACGTCCCTATTTAAATTGAAGAAAAAGAGAGGGAAACAATGAACTGGAATGCATAAAAAACGCACCGGAACACGTAAAAAAATGCATAACAAATGCACCAGAACGCGTCAAAAACGCTCATGTGGAAACATTCCTGGAACCCATGTGGACTGCGTTTCTATAGTGTGCACTGGTCCTAAAAGTTTTTTTCCATACATTTAAGTTGTCTCTTGAGCCAGGTGTAAGACGTTCCTTTCATTCTACATTTGTCAACACAATAATGAGGAAAAAGAGCTGTCTAAAAAAATGTCTAAAAAATACTGAAAAACATAAAAATGATGGAGAACTGGTTTCAAGAGACAACTTAGATCAAACTAAAATCTGCGGCCAGCTTTGAAAAGAGTTTTCTCCAAATCTAATATTGCTGTAAATTGTATCACTAAAGGGCCTAAAAAAATGCCATATAAATTTGTCTATATTTTAAAAAAATGTGAATGTTACATTGAAACTGCAATGAAAAATCGCTGTATTTTGTGTAATATGATTAGAAGCACCATCTAGTGGCCATAATGTGGTATTTTCCTGATTGAGGTATTTCAGGAAAAATGCCACAATATGGCTACTAGATGGTGGATACAATCACAGGATATAATCATCTTACACAAAATACATTAATTGTTTTTTTTTTTTCGGCTGTGCAAATGTTTTTCACAGTCATACAACATATTTTTTATAGACAGACCCCTGATAGTACCCGTGAGTTGGGTGTGTGTACTTGTTTATGTTAGATAATAAAGCCTTCCCACTTCCACTTGTGTAAAAAGGCAGGACGTCAACTATATCTGTTCTATGTACCTTGAATCCAGCGATTGCCCCGCACTGCAGGTCCGATTCAATATTTCCAGGATCCAGATAGGCGATACTCATCAAGAACCCAGGCCCAGTAAATGCCCAGAGCTTCCTAAAGCTGAAGCCAGGCTAGGTGGAAATAGAATAAGTGAATTAAATGCAAATAAAATAAAAATATAAATATGAAAATATACAATATATGAATAAATATATACAGTATTATATTATTGATAAATTGTACATTATATTATTATATTATTATTATTATACAGGATTTATATCGCACCAACAGTTTGCTCAGCACTTTACAATATAACGGGAGACAATACAGTTCAATACAAGAGGGATAGGAGGAACCTGTTTTATGTAATATAAAAATGATCACATAGGCACAGATAAAAGTAACAGGGGAGGGGCAACCTTAAAGTGTTACTAAACCCCGGACCCTGCATTCACTATATCCGGTCTCCCCGGTCCCTGCATTCACTATATCTGGTCTCCCCAGACCCTGCATTCACTATATCAGCTCTCCCTGGACCCTGCATTCACTATATCTGGTCTCCCCTGGACCCTGCATTCACTATATCTGGTCTCCCCAGACCCTGCATTCACTATATCCGGTCTCCCTGGACCCTGCATTCACTATATCTGGTCTCCCCAGACCCTGCATTCACTATATCTGGTCTCCCAGGGCCCTGCATTCACTATATCTGGTCTCCCTGGACCCTGCATTCACTATATCTGGTCTCCCCAGACCCTGCATTCACTATATCTGGTCTCCCTGGACCCTGCATTCACTATATGCGCTCTCCCCGGACCCTGCATTCACTATATCCGCTCTCCCCGGACCCTGCATTCACTATATCCACTCTCCCTGGACCCTGCATTCACTATATCTGGTCTCCCCAGACCCTGCATTCACTATATCTGGTCTCCCCGGACCCTGCATTCACTATATGCGCTCTCCCCCCGGACCCTGCATTCACTATATCCGCTCTCCCCGGACCCTGCATTCACTATATCCACTCTCCCTGGACCCTGCATTCACTATATCCGGTCTCCCCGGACCCTGCATTCACTATATCTGGTCTTCCCGTACCCTACATTTACTATATCTGGTCTCCCCAGACCCTGCATTCACTATATCCGGTCTCCCCGGACCCTGCATTCACTATATCTGGTCTTCCCGTACCCTACATTTACTATATCTGGTCTCCCCAGACCCCGCATTCACTATATCTGGTCTCCCCGGACCCTGCATTCACTATATCTGGTCTCCCCTGACCCTGCATTCACTAAATCTGGTCTCCACGAACCCTGCATTCACTAAATCTGGTCTCCACGAACCCTGCATTCACTATATCTGGTCACCCTGGACCCTACATTCACTATATCCGCTCTCCCCGGACCCTGCATTCACTATATCTTATCTCCCCGGACCCTGCATTCACTATACCTGCTCTTCTCGGACCCTGCATTCACTATAACCGATCACCCTGGACTCTGCATTCACTATATCTGGTCTCCCTGGACCCTGCATTTACTATATCCGGTCTCCCTGGACCCTGCATTCACTATATCTGCTCTCCCGGACCCTGCATTCACTATATCCAGTCTCCCCGGACCCTGCATTCACTATATCTGGTCTCCCCGGACCCTACATTCCCTATATCCGGTCTCCCCGGACCCTGCATTCACTATATCCGGTCTCCCCAGACCCTGCATTCACTATATCTGGTCTCCCCGGACCCTGCATTCACTATATCTGGTCTCCCCGGACCCTGCATTCACTATATCTGGTCTCCCCGGACCCTGCATTCACTATATCTGGTCTCCCCGGACCCTGCATTCACTATATCCGGTCTCCCCGGACCCTGCATTCACTATATCCGGTCTCCCCGGACCCTGCATTCACTATATCCGGTCTCCCCAGACCCTGCATTCACTATATCCGGTCTCCCCGGACCCTGCATTCACTATATCTGGTCTCCCCGGACCCTGCATTCACTATATCTGCTCTCCCGGACCCCGCATTCACTATATCTACTCTAACCTGCTAAATACCTTTTCTCATCAGCAGTATATAGCAGTCTTGTGACTTCTATCAGTGTCCAGCAAAGCGCTGGTTAAAGCTTGTAGGAGGAGTTTTCTCTGTCTGGACAGTGCTGATTGGCCCTGTGCTGATCACATGTACCCTCCCAAGAAGAAAAAAAAAGCCCTCTCTAGCAATACACACTATACTGAGCAAGTGCATGTGGCTACGGGTTCAGCCTGTCTTATCAGGTGGACATCTGAACAAGAGGAGGAGCAGAGAAGACGGGATCAAACAGCCTTTTTTACACAATGCAGAGGATTAACCCCTTAGGTTCCACAGTGAGTATAACAAGCATGCTTGACTGCATCTACAGACTGATTGGACTGTTGTGGGTTTAGTAACACTTTAAAGCTGAATGTGAATTCTTTTTGAATCTCTTCCAGATCTGTGCAGTAATCCAGTGTGAGGCTTCCTGTAATACAGGCCACTCACTGCTGCTCTCTCTCTCAGGTGACTGAGAGGTGACTGGTCTTGTCTCCGCCCCCCCTCCTGAAGTTTTCTGCAGGCAACATGCAGTGGGTGGAGCCTGCTGGGCCCCTCCCACAGCTCTGCTCTCTGCACAAGCTATGTACAGCACAGCGATGATGTCACTGCTAACTTGATAAGATAATATCTGGGTTTGCAAAAGCATTTAGTGCACACAAAGTGGATTTATATCCTTTGTGGCTATTGGAGAAAATAATAATAATAATTAAATTAAAGGTATTATGTCTGGAGTTCAGCTTTAAAATTGAACTCAAATTAAGAATCTTCTGCCTGATAAGTTTCCATATTTGTGTATTTATTTCCAGCATTTGGGGCACTGTGCAGCGATAAGACTCAGGCCTTAGTTCTTCTTATTAATCTGCTATTGGTAACCGACTTCTAGTTTCCTAGCCATGTTCCTAAATTATACCTGGTACTGGTACATAACGAATCAACACTTCCCACTTTCACATCACTCCTTCCTCTTGTTCACATGAGAGTTTTCTTTCTGCTCTGGGAGGATGCAGAACTCCTGACCCTCTGTCTGGACAGCGTTGACTGGCAATGTGCTGATCACATGCACCCTCCCAAGAAAAAAAAAAACCCTCTCTAGCAATACACACTAAACTGAGCATGTGCATGTGGCTACGGGTTCAGTCTGTCTTATCAGGTGGACATCTGAACAAGAGGAGGAGCAGAGAAGACGGGATCAAACAGCCTTTTTACACAATGCAGAGGATTAACCCCTTAGGTTGCACAGTGAGTATAAAAACAGCATGCTTGACTGCATCTACAGACGGTATATCAATATCAATACCTCACGTGAGGGCTGCGTCTACCCGCATGGGGACGCACAGGTGTTCCGTGTTCCCACTGATGTCAGTTGGGACAAAGATGCTGCTCCCAGCAGTTAAAGTTAAAGCCCAACTCCAGGAAAAGTAAAAATGCGCTGCCCCTGTACTGCAAGGGTTAACTGCCCATTTAGGCCAAGAGGATTTACCGAAACTTCAGTTTCCCCCTTGCAGACAGGCTTCCTGAATGTTCCAGCAGTGAAATGTCCCTTGGCGTCCTCACATCCACTGCAAGGCTATGGGCCCTGCATCAGGTGTGATGATGTCATAGTTGATTTGACCTCCGTGTCATAGGATAGACGAGGCTGTGGGGACTTTCAGCATGGAGAAGCCTGCAGGACTGGAGAATCAGGTAAATGAAATGAGCAGGCAACCCTTTTCAGGCTAGGGTAGCCTCACTGCAAGGAGGGATTTATAATTCCCTGGTTCACACTTGTGCAGGCCGTGTGTTCCGCGTTTTCACAGGCATGGCAGCCCATTCCTTCGAATGGGATGCCATGCCTGCGTTTAAAAAAAAAAAAAAAAAAAACATGAGTCTTTTTTAAAAATGCGGCCGCAGGGAAATTGCATGGTCAAAAAGATCGTGCGATTTCCCTGCGGTTTCTGCACCTGCAAACACGCTGCCTGTTGAGATGCGTCGGGGTGCCATTAAGAATGAATAGCAGCCCTGTGCGTCTCATAAGATCAGCGCGATTTGGCTGCAGGTGGACCCGGGTTCAGGAACCCCATACCAGCAACCATCCTGCACAGTGTGAACCAGGGCGCAAATAATATACTCTGCATAGTTACATTGTTTCTGCTTGCATCAATATAACTATGTATATACCATACCTGTGGACTCCCTATAGAACAACCTCTCTCAACCAGGGTGCCCAGGCACTCTGGGGTGCCTTGAGGTTTCTTCAGGGGTGCCTTGGCAAAATATCTAAAAATTGAACAAAACTAGTATCCAAGCCAGCGGGTGGAACAAGCTGGTCTTTTAGTTACATAAAGCCACAGGTATTCATTGCGCACCATTACGACCTTCTAGCCGCCGGCGTCTTGACAACCAATGACATCATCAGTTGATAAGGAGGATGTCAGCTGCCTGCACAGCATCCTAGTTTGACCCTCCCCCACCCCTCTCCATCAGTGCTGGGGTCACATTAGCTCAGTGATGGAGAAAAACTGAGGGAGAAGAGAAACATGGGAACACTAGTCAGTACCAGTGTGCAAAAGTGTATTTGCTTTGGAAGAATAAATCCCCTCTAATGTTGGGTGTCCTACATGTGTGGATGTTGCTGCGTTATATAAAACTATTAGAATAGTTTTTCACATTTTAGAATGGGGTGCCTGAAGACTGTCCATAGTTTTAAAGGGTGCCTCGGGATTGTCCATATTTTTTTAAGGATGCCTTGACTGAAAAAAGGTTGAGAAACACTGCTCTAGAAGCAGGATATCACTGCATAGACATCACTACTCCAGTGATCTCCACTAGCTTCTGATTCCTGTGCCGAGCGGCTGTTTTCCTGCATTCCAAGTCACCCGTTTGGCATGGACACCATTTACAGAATGCTTTGCATTTTCTCAATGGATGCAATGAATGTCCAATCAGAGAATGATTTGCATTCATTGGTCACCAAGAGGGTTAGTGTTAGGGTCACCAGGAGGGTTAGTGTTAGGGTCACCAAGAGGGTTAGTGTTAGGGTCACCAGGAGGGTTAGTGTTAGGGTCACCAGGAGGGTTAGCGTTAGGGTCACCAAGAGGGTTAGTATTAGGGTCACCAGGAGGGTTAGTGTTAGGGTCACCAAGAGGGTTAGTATTAGGGTCACCAGGAGGGTTAGTGTTAGGGTCACCAAGAGGGTTAGTATTAGGGTCACCAGGAGGGTTAGTGTTAGGGTCACCAGGAGGGTTAGCGTTAGGGTCACCAAGAGGGTTAGTGTTAGGGTCACCAGGAGGGTTAGCGTTAGGGTCACCAGGAGGGTTAGCGTTAGGGTCAACAGGAGGGTTAGCGTTAGGGTCACCAAGAGGGTTAATGTTAGGGTCACCAGGAGGGTTAGTGTTAGGGTCACCAGGAGGATTAGTATTAGGGTCACCAGGAGGGTTAGCGTTAGGGTCACCAAGAGGGTTAGTATTAGGGTCACCAGGAGGGTTAGTGTTAGGGTCACCAGGAGGGTTAGCGTTAGGGTCACCAAGAGGGTTAGTGTTAGGGTCACCAGGAGGGTTAGCGTTAGGGTCACCAGGAGGGTTAGCGTTAGGGTCAACAGGAGGGTTAGCGTTAGGGTCACCAAGAGGGTTAATGTTAGGGTCACCAGGAGGGTTAGTGTTAGGGTCACCAGGAGGATTAGTGTTAGGGTCACCAGGAGGGTTAGCGTTAGGGTCACCAAGAGGGTTAGTGTTAGGGTAACCAGGAGGGTTAGTGTTAGGGTAACCAGGAGGGTTAGTGTTAGGGTTATAGGAAGAATTAGGGTCAGGTCACACCTGAATTCCATAGGAATGCTCTCTGCATTCCCGTGCAATTCAGCGTGGTATGATTTTGGGCTGAAATGGTACTGGATCGCACCAAAAGTAGTGCATTGACTACTTTTAAAAACACACTGCAACCCGATCGCATGGTACTGTGACACCGTGCGATCCGGTGCAGGTAACTGCGCTGTGTTTGCAATCTGTGTTCGGGATGTTGTTAGGAATGCACTGACACCCGCAGCAAATCCCAGTGTTTTTTCAATGCAGTGTGGGAAGTCCGCTGGACTAAATGTATTCCATAAGGATCTTCAATATGAAGCTCATAACGGATAGACCTAGATAAGTATGACCTCATAGAGGATAATCCAAGGTGGAACGAAAACTATAGTAAATAATAGACTTTTCATGACCAAAACAGTATTATATGTACATAATAAAAAAAAAGATCTTAAAACAGCATGTCACCATATCCATAAACCGACTTGTTTCCAACCATTAAGATGACCGCCACGTTTCAGTTCGCAATGACGCCATACGATCTAGCTCCAACCAACGCATTTGGTCCTCAATGACGTCATCAGAGGCGCTGCACCCGCTATATATGTTTATGTATTGTAACCTGCAATATTGTGCTAGCTGCTTGTGTGGGGTATACTTCCCGAATTTAAACAGACCCAAGCGCGATATAGTCTATTTATTTAGTGTTAGTGTTACAGGGAGGGTCGGGGTTTCGGGGGAGGGTTAGCATTATGGTCACAGGGAAGGATAGCTTAAAGGTTACGTTTAGGATTAGTGTAAGGGTTGGTTTTTGGTTTACATGAAGAATTAGTGTTAAACTTACTGTACACATTACAATCTGATTGTACAATCTCCTTTAGATCCACCAACAAGTATGTAGTGCAATGGCCTACCTGACTGCTTACAAATGGATTGGATAGTTTAGGTACGTCCTTATATTACATAGCTTTGGAAGGTCTAAGGTTCATTGTACGAGTGTTGGTGTGGCCCAGATTCACTGCACGCTGGGAAGAGAACTCTCACAGAGACCGGTTGATGCAGTAATATGT